CCCAATTCCCAACACATTCAACACCCCCTATCAAGGGGTGCCATTAGGACTCCCCTAATTCTATTTCATTTAGAAATCACAAGTTGTTGGGTTGCCAATTGCCATAACATTGACACATCCAATCATTTTATGTTAACAAATAATTACTTGAATTATTATATATAAAATTAAATTAAAATGTTTTTTTTAATATTTGCTTGTAAAGATTGTTTGAAATAAAAATGGAAAAAATCATTAGCAATGAAATGGATTGTAACCATGAACTCCATTCCTAAAATTTGCCAACCTTCATTGTGTGTGCATAGAGCCTAGAACCTCCTTCTTCTTCTTCCTCCTCATCTTTAATCCATAAAATTTGTAGCAGAGGTGGACTTGGGTTTTTTTTTTTTTAATAAGGAAACAACTATTGCTTAATTGCCTTTGCCTTTGCCTTATCCCCCCATGTTTCAGTTTTTTTTAGCCTTGTGGGTGTAATGTCCCACAAAAACTTAACCACCCAGTTTTTGAGTAACAGTAACAGTAGATGATATCATAGTTTTTGAGTCTGGTTTTTTCAATTTGTTTACAAAAACTTAACCACCCACTTTTTATGGGTTAAAAGGTCATTTTTTAAAACCATTTGTTACAAGTCTTTCGGATTTTTCCTCTCTGTTACAGATGACTACCATCTGATTATTTTCATCGACTCGACTCGACTGCCATTTAGGGATTTCTCGTATCCTGGTCGTATAATTGCCACTCGTGATTTCTTTAGAAGAAACATTTGGAGGAAGAAGGATCGATGGTTGTAAGAATCATATTTTCCAGCCTTACCGACCAATCCCGTAGCAAATAGTTATTTTCAAGAAACTAGCTGTGTTGTGGTTGATGAATGATGATGTCGGAACAAGGTAGAAGCAGTGGGTTTTTGGAACTCAAGGGCTACTGCTTACAACTCTTTCAACTCCTCAGAAACCCTAACAACAAAGGCAGTACATCCACTATCTCTCAGCTTCTTCACTTTATTCGCCGCTCTCCTCTTCCTGCTCTCCAACCTTTCTTCGAGTATGTTGCTTTCACTTCTCGATTTCTCTTTTTTCAGTGTCTGTCACCAGAAAATGGCTGAAATTTATGGTCACCCTATATTATCGCTTGGAACCTTTACTATTTCTTATATCAATCTTGCATTTTTGTAACTTCTACTGTTCCAGGACTGATACCAATTGTTATTATTCGGGATCATATGGGGTAAAAACTAGTACCAAAGATTACCAAGATTTTTGATCTTCAATTCAAACTTTCTTACCAAATTACAAGTAACATGTGGAGTAAAAACAAATACCCCAAAAAAACCAAATTTTGTATCAAAAAAACATCCAAGTGGCATAATGCTCTCAAATTGGTACACAATTTTCGTCTTTTCAAAATTTTGATCACTGTGAACGAGAGAATTCTCAAGCTTGTATGCTGGATTTTCATTGAAATGCATACAAGCTTGAGAATTCTCTTGTTCACAGGGATCAAAATTTTGAGATGGCGATAAAAGTGTACCAATTTGAGAGCATTAGGCTTCTTGGGATTTTTTTTTTGGTAAGGATAATCTGGAGTGGCCTGGGAGGGACTCAAACGGATGACCTACAGGGAGAAGACTCAGAGGCCCAAGGCTTATTGTGAGTGGAGTTAATCCCTCAAGGTTGGCTCTCAGGGATTGAATAACTTTATGAGATGTAGGAATACATTTTACATTTATTGTTATATGACCTTGGAAGCAAATATGCTGAACCTTGTAAAATTTTTTCTCTCCTTCCATACTGATAACTGCTTAAAACTATGACATGGGCCATATAAAATATGTGTCGGTTATGCTGCTGAACAGAAAAAGTTATCGACTTATGCCTCCCTTAGGAGATGAGGCTTAGTCTTACAAGACTTCAATTTGTTGTCGGAATGTGGTAATCTGCATCTCTAATAATCGTTCTTCTATTATGTATGTTGTGGCAGAAAACCTTCAACTATTAAACTTAACTTGTTTTAGCATGCACATATATCAAACGTAATGATGTTGATTTTGGCTGAACCTTCATAGAGAATTCGGAATGGACCAGGTTGTCAGGAGCAAAAATATCGTAGCATGTATTACTTTAATTGTGTTTTGAGGTATTCTAATTGGCATCATAAGTGTGCATAAGCCTAGTGATTGTCCACTCCATGTCATAATCATGTGCTTTATATGTACCAATATGACAATTAGGCCAAGGGGTAACATACAGCTGGGACCTTTAACATCTCTACACTATCTCTAGGTTCAATGAAGACACACATCCGCAAAGGACACCGTCTCATGGAACAAAGAGACTCCTTGGTTAGGCGTGCTTTATATATGTGTTTGTCTGTATTCATGTTCTGCTTATGGATCAACAATGGTAGCCTTCACTAGGGATCTTTTCTCGCATATTTGCTTAGATTTTTCAACATGCACCTCTAGGTCCCCATTCATCTGGTTAGAATGTTTTTCAGGTCCATGGATGCTATGGGGACTGCTTTCTTATGGCCTATGGGAACACCTAAGGGGGAGTTTGGTTCGTAGGATTCCAGCGAAATCTGACGCAATTGGAATGACATATTTTGTGGACTCAATTCCTAATTTCTATGGCTTGTTTGGTTTGCAAAATTTGGGGAATTGAATTTCATTGGATTAGAAATTCCTTTCAGTAAGGAATCGAGCATTTCATGACATTTTTCATGGAATTCAATTCCATTCTTTTACAACTATGTAGAAAGACAAAAATACCAATGGATTATAAAGAAAACCGTGTTATAAGGGAATCAAGTATTATTCGTATTATTATATTAATTCGTGTTATTATTCGTATTATTGTATTTACTAATTTTACCAATGTATAACTTATTTTCAAATATGTGTTTGTAAATCAAGCAATAAATCACAAACATTAAGGGGTAATATCGTTATTTACATTCCATTTCCGGAGCTATATTCTGTTAATCATACAGAGAGATAGAATAGAATTGAATTCCGTTCCATTCTCTACCAACCAAACGCCTGGTATGACCAAATCAATCAAATTCTAATTACTTTTACAGATCTCACTCCTTCCAAAAACATTATGCGAACCAAATGCCACCTAAGGTTTTGGTTTGATTCCCCATAGCCCAAAGCAGCAACCTGACTGAATAACCTTGAAATCAACTTAATTCATGGTGGAAGTTATTGGCAGCCCACAATTTAAAGTTATAAGAAGCTCACAGATCTACTTTTCTATCTTTTTGGGACGGGTTGTTACATCTGGACTTGTAGTTGAAAGCTTGGAAGCTAGAAAGAGTTGCACTTTTACTATAATATATGCAGTTCCATTTTCGTTATGTACTCATCACATCTGATATGTGAAGACATTTTTTGCGTGTGTTTGGAAAGTCAAACCAAATAACTGTTGAATTTGAGATTGATGTATTTGTATGAGTTTTTAAAATCCAAAAGTACTTTGGTCGTGATACCTTTTGTTATAGCAAGAACACAGTCATCAATTTCTTTTAACCATAGAAATTTCTTTCAAATATGAAGCTAAAACTTATTGCACATTCAAAAGGTTAAAGGCACACTTTTTATGGTATAGACGTAGTATTAATTTTTTGGTAGTTCTTTTGGGTGTAATTTGAGATAAATCCTCACTTCGCCTCTGGTCACGTCCCAAGCACGCTCAGGGTACACTAGCCGTCCACTACAAGTAATTTTTTTTTGCATTCTGTATTCTGTGGTCTGACTCTTAATGGTCAATAGTTTTCTGGTTCTTATGATAAGGATCTCATTTTAATATTTTGGCACATCAAAGGGTTCTAATTTTGGCAATCAAGATCATGCTTTAAGCTCTTATTTTCTTTGAACCTACATCCTTCCCTTCTTTGAGCTATATTCCTTTGATATCAGCTGTTTGACTTGCGTTTCTGTTATCTTTTCAGCTATACTTTGTTACCACTGCTGCTTCTTTTGGAAGCTGCAGTGGACTGCAGATCTCCACCAAAGGATGAGTTTAAAGAGAGATCTGTATTCACGAGTGCTACAGAAAAACCTCCTAAAGTGGGTGATGCTGTGGCAGAAGGCGTGCTTCATTGTTTGGAGGAACTTCTAATGAAGTGTCATGTAGGATCTGTGGATCAGGTATTTGAATTCAAACTGCTCCGTGCCAAATTGAATGCCTTTTTCTAGCATCTTGTCTTGCTTGGAAATTTTATGTAATTTACTGCTACCTAACATTAGCATTTGATTTCTTTTGGTAGATCATTCTTCTTCTAATGTCATTTGTATCTTTTCGACCCCTTATTGATATCCTCATTGTTTCAAAAGCTTTCCTTTTTTTGAAATGACAAATAAGATTTTTTTGCTTTGGAAATATGCTATTCCTTTGCAGATGGTTGTGATACTAAAAAAATTGACTAATGCGGCATTGCTCTCTCCATCTGAGGCAGCAGAAGAGTTTCGTGAAGGAGTTATCAGGTGCTTTAAGGCACTGCTTCTCGGGTTATGTTTGTGCTCCAACACCTCTTGCACTTGCAAGCAAATAAATAGCCTGTCTATGGTTTTAGACAAAAGGTATGCAGGATCATTACTTAGAGAACTCCCAGCACATGAGCTGAATCCCGAGGAATGTTTACTTGCATTCCTTCGATCTCAATCTGCAACTATTACTGTTGGACACTGGCTGTCGCTTCTGCTAAAAGTATGTATTCTTCATATCACGCCCATCTCTTTCCTTGGCAATAAGTATTATTATGGAACAGTTCAAATTTAGTGATTTTTTCTTATTTTGCGTCATTATATAAAGATAAAGTCTATAATAGGAACTTGATCTTGGATGTTTTCACTTAGGCTGCAGATGTTGAGGCATCACGGGGACATATAGGCAGTTCTAAGCTTCGAATAGAAGCCTTCATGACTCTTCGTGTGCTTGTTGCTAAGGTAAAGTATAGGCAAGGAGATTGTATAGCTGGTAAAATCATTAATTGGTCATGGTATATTTTATCTTATATCGGCTATATGTTTATAGCTGGAAGCATGTATATTTGGATTGTATACGGGCTATTTGCTTATGTTTTCTTTTCTCTGTCTAGAATATCAAGTTTATTAGTTGGTGACTCAGGCTCTGTCTGGATATAGATGTCTATATGTATACATGTCTTTTTTGGAATAAGTGGTAAATGAATCAACAATGTTTGTTAAGTGTGCTTAATGGGGATGTGGAGGTATATATGATATGAGGGAGGTAGGATGCCAGAGAAGATGGTCTTAATGTGTAAAGCATAACCATAGTGATTTGCCTATTAAATCATTGGCATAGTGAATTAGTGATCAAGTCCCAAACAAACACTCATATATGGTTTACTGAGCAAGTCATCCAACACATTAAGTCCATTAGTTCTAATCAAACACCACCTAAATGTGGCATTAGATTTTCTTGTCTTTGGGACTTGGAGTCCATCACCAATGTTTACACCGACAGTATACGTTATGTCATTTTTACTCTGATACACTTGAATGCAATGTTTAAACCCATGGTATACATTTATGTAGTTTTCACTCTGATACACTTGAATGCCTCTGTCATTTGTGTATGTTCTTGCAGGTTGGTACAGCCGATCAACTGGCTTTCTTTTTACCTGGTGTTGTTAGTCAGATTGGAAAAGTGTTGCACGTGTCAAAAACAATGATTAGCGGGGCTGCTGGAAGTATGGAGGCCATGGACCAAGCACTTAGAGGTTTGGCGGAGTTTCTCATGATAGTTCTTCAGGATGAGGCAAATACATCCAGTCTTGATGACAATGACATCGATTTAAATACGAACAAGTCTCCACTATCATTTCTGGAGGAGCTCCGCCACTTGCCTGGAATAAAGCAAGATCAGGGTGAAATTATAGCAACAAAATCAATCCAAAAGGTGATTGGCAACACTTCGTCACAATCTGGCTTTATAGGGAATGAACCCACTAAATCTGATGTTCCAAAATCTTTGCATGTGGACCGCACAAAAGATTGGATTGCAACAGCATCTTCTCATGTGAATAAATTGTTGTCTGCAACTTTTCCTGATGTAAGTCTGAACAACTATTTGATGGCTGTCAACTGCTGTCAAGATGCTTCACTTCATATTTTGCAATTATTAAGTGTATTTTTTTTTCTAAATTTGGAAAACATTGTGTTATTTTTAGCTCTGTGTTCATCCAGCCAAGAGGGTGAGACAAGGGACCATGGCTGCTATACAGGGACTCTTGTCAACATGCAGTCACACACTGAAAGGAAGCAGACTAATGCTTCTGGTGAGGTTAACTTATCCTTGCATCATCCTAGTTGTGGGTGGATATTCCTTCAGATAAAATGTCGTTTATGTTGCTTATCTCATAGTGCTTGCAATGTGTAATGAAACTAGGTTAGAGATATTCCCCGGTAGTTGGTCATCTGATCTCTGAAGTGTAAAAGTTTGTCATGTGGATTACACTTGGAAGAATTGAGTACTTTGGTTAATGTAGAGACTATAAGATGCAATAGGTAGGCATGTTTGGCACCAATGCTTTGTTGTTGAGGAAACATTCTGTTCTTTCACTAGTGGATTGACTTGAAAATTTCTGTGCAAAGGTTGAAATATTCTAATGACAATTCTACATTCTTTTTGGGCTTGCTTGCTGCTGAGGTCAGGTGAAGAGGTTAATGCTATTTCCAGTTTAAGCTTATGCACTTTCTCCCCCTACCCAAATTCGCAAAAAAACTGGCCCATTTGTCTGTTCAATTTGACCACCTCGTAGGACCCCTATCATACGAAATATGCTCCATCACGAGCACATGCTACCTACTAGTTACACGATGCTTTGTCTTAAACTTATACTTTTGTTCTCTCTCTCTCTCTCTCTCTCTCTCTCTCTCTCTCTCGGTTTAGGTTGGTGTAGATCAATTTCTAGAGCTTTAAATTTAAATTATTTAACATAAGTAATGTGACCTAGTGTTCGACTAAATCTTGTTATGGTGGTTTTAGGCAAACATCTAGTAATTAGTGGGTTGTATCAACTCAGTGCTGTTGTTGATGAGATTGTACTTTGTTTGATCCCTAAATGCTATGTGTAAGTTTATCACCTCTAAGTTATCATCAGCCACATTGTTTTGATACCTTGATGCTATGTGTAAGTTTATCACCTCTAAGTTATCATCAGCCACACAATAAAAGCAATCATCTTATCTTCCCTGTTTGGTCTATTCTGTCGGTACTTTCCGCAGCCAAGACAAAATATCAGTTTGCTACACGGTCTTTGTGCATACTTGTGAATTGTGATATTGATTGTCATTCATCTGGTTCCACTCAGCCTAATATGACTTCTTTGCTCTTCTAAACTTGGTACGACTTGCTGCACGTAGGTAGTATGTAGATACGATATTCATTGGCTTCGCTTCAACTGTGAAAGCATCGATCCAAAGACATGCTTAGCTGATTTGTAGTATTTTGAGAGATGTCGGAACTCTGGCATTTGGTTGTTGGTATTGCCTAGAGACGTCCCTCGTGAATCAAAACATGGTCCTATGATTGAAATTGTTATTAATGAACTTCAAAGAGGTGCTTGCACTATGTTGTAGTGTTAGAATATTTTTAGGCTTACAATGTTGCTTTATATGGGCATGGACTCTTTAATGCCCAAATGACAGGAGCCTCATTCTGCTTGCTGTTTTGTGATTTGTTTATTTAGTTATTTTGCTTGCATTATTTATATTTGTAGTTCTCAAAGATTTCTTTTTGTATCATCGTTTTGCTGATTGTAATTGATCTGTCCTTGCAGGAATGTGTATGTGCTTTAGTTTCTGATGATGATGAAGAGGTGTCAGCAGCTGCTCAGATGCTTCTTGGAAATTTATTATCATCAAGTGGGAAGCATCATGTAGAACGTGATCTAGCTGATATTTTTAACAGGTCCTTGTTTATTATCTATAATGTTCTATCTTTAGCGGTTCAATATGTTTTCTCACAGACTTCACAGTTTTGTTTCTAACAGAGTTTTGAATGACATAACAGGCTCTTTGAAAAGCTCCCTGAAGTGGTGGTCGGAGGGGAGAAAGCAGTTGCACATTCTCAAAAGTTACTTGTATTAATTTATTACTCTGGTCCCCAACTTGTTAAAGATCATCTTCTCCAATCTCCTGTATGTTTACTTCTATTTTGCCACCATATTGTTCATTCTTTCTTTCTTTCTCAGTATGGTGTGTCTCTTAAAGCTAGTTTTTTCTTCTTGTCACCTAAAAGTCACATTTAGTATTGACATCAAGCTCCTAAACTGGGTCTATGTTTCTATAACGTCCCTAATACAGGTCTCCGTTAGGTACAAAAAATCTTGTGCATAAATCACACTTTTTATCATCTGAATAGAGTTCAAGGACATGCATTATTTGTGATTATGCCCTCTGTACTATCACTTTTTGATCCTTTCTATTGTTACTATAAACATTTTACCCAGTTGAAGGCTTTCATTGCTGTTTCTGTTTGTTGTAATCCTTTCCAGGTTGTTCTTGTGTTCCAAGTTGCTAACACAACTTAGACTAGATTCATTATCTGTGTTTGCCCATTCTTTACCTCACTAAGGCAGCAATAAGGCAATAGTCCATTTTCTAAAATAAACCGACCTGCTAAGCAATTACTCATTTTAGCATGCTAAAGTGGAGATGCTACTCCATCCGATAAGAAATAAGATTACGCAGACTCTGATGGACCAATCTGATCTTAGTATATTCTTTAGATTATAAAACCGATGAAGTTATGTGCGGGTGTCATGCTAATTACCACAATCCTCATCCAAGATTGGGATTAGATCGCTTATGAGACGGTTGTAATTCTAGCATCAACATGGATGGAGCTGCAGAGCTCTATCTGTATTATTGTATATATTGTTATATGTCAATTTGATACAAACATAAGCAATGGCTATTTGGTTGTCTTCATACGTGTATAAATCCGACTTCCAGCCTCATGATCACAAATTTAATATGTTGGGTGAATGAAAATACATGGTTTGTGGTTAGTGCCTCTAGTTGTTATTGTTTGACCTGTGACGTGACTAATGAGCCAAGATCTCGTGTGAATGATATAGGTGACAGCAGCTCGATTCTTTGATAATCTTTCCCTTTGTTTGAGCCAGAATTCAGTATTTTCTGGTTCATTGGACAAGCTGCTTTTGGAGAGGCCATCCTCGGTTGGGTACCTGCGTTCTATAACTGAGATGAAAGCTACCGCTTTCTTTGCAAACAAGAAGGTGGACGCTGTCGAGTCTAATGCTTATGAAGATCCCTACTCTTGTGAAATACAAAATGAATATGATCTTCCACGTATGCCACCTTGGTTTGCTTCTTCTGGCAATCAGAAACTTTACCAGGCATTGTCAGGGATCATTAGACTTGTTAGCCTGTCTCTTGTTGCAGGTTATCCTAGCACTTTTTTAACCCCTTCCCCCCCTCCTCCCCCTTTTTCTACAACAAAGGGCTTTGCAGAGCTCTTTCGAACTCACATTCTTTTCTTGAATTTATCTATTTATGTGCTGAAATCTATACTCAGGACCTCCAAAATTTCATTTTACCAGGTTCTCAAAGTGAGGGAAGTTTATCGATTATCAAAGATATTCCACTCAGCTACTTGCGTAAATTGATTGGTGATATCCGAAACAAGGAATACACAAAAGAGAACTGGCAGTCTTGGTATAACAAGACTAATTCAGGGAAGCTAGTAAGACAAGCTAGTACTGCTGTATGCATCTTGAATGAGATGATATTTGGTTTATCAGATCAAGCTGTTGACGATTTAAAAAGGCGGTTTCATAAATCCAGCTCGAGTAGAGAGGGTACAGAAGATGATGACCCAGGACCTCGTAATAAAATTCAAGATGATGTGACTAATGTATCTGGGTGGAACATATCGTTAGAGGATCTAAGGAGTCAGTTAATTGATTGCGTTGGCAGTATATTGCATGAGTATCTATCGTCTGAAGTGTGGAATCTTCCGTTGGAGCAATCCAGTGCAGGAGCTGGAGATGTTACTGTGCACTTTTTTCGGGATAACGCAATGCTGCACCAGGCAATTACTTTGTCCTTCATCATATTGTATCTAAACCATCAAATTTTTTTGGGCAGAGGGGACGAGCCCCAGGAAATTTTTTATTCAAACTAAACCATCATTTATGGCAGGCATAATTTGAACTGTTGTATTGATTCTATTACTTCAAACAGGTTATCATTGATGGGATAGGCATCTATAATCTGTGCCTTAAAAGTGATTTTTTGTCAAGTGGGTTTCTTCATTCGTCTCTTTATGTGTTACTGGAGAATCTTATTTGCTCAAACTTCCAAATCAGACGTGCGTCGGATGCTGTCTTACATGTCATTGCAGCTACATCTGGCTATCTAACGGTGAAATAGCAGCCTCAATATGAATGAATTTGGTGTCTGCAACTATAACTATTCCTCACAAAACCTTACCCCCTTTACAGGTTGGCCACTTGGTTTTGGCAAATTCAGACTACGTAATCGATTCGATATGTCGGCAGCTGCGTCATCTGGATCTTAATCCTCATGTTCCAAGTGTTCTTGCAGCCATTCTGTCATATATAGGTGTGGCCCACAAAATTTTACCATTAATGGAGGAGCCGGTATGTTTTAGCATGATCTCTCTGTCTTAATGTGTGTGTCCACATAAACTAGAAGATGTTATAGCTCTATTCTAGGATCTTTCTTGCAGTTTAAATAGTCTACCTTTTACGATTCCAGTAGTCTTTGATTATGTACTCAACAAGAAAATTACATACAGAAAATTCAGCAAAGAAAATGGACAATATGAGACAGCAGATTTTATGTGGTTCAAAACTGGTAATCAAAATTATTACAGTTATACTCCATGGCAGCCACTATTGTTTTTTCTTCTTTGACTTTGAGTTTGCAGAGACTTCTTCCTAACTCGGTATAAAAAAATCTCTCCTCTCTCTAAAGATTACACGAAAAATCATAAGATTGCAAGTATTGTTGTTGTTATTTAACTCGAAACACTACCCTCCTATTTATACAATGACTAACCGCTTTTTTCCTTGGTTCATCTAGCTGCGATATTAGATAACCATGCAATTAACTAACACAAGTGCCCGAGAGTTGACTTTATGTTGGTGATTAGTATCACTAATATCATTTAAATGTAATGGGATTAATTTGTTGACCAATGTAATCATGATAAATATTGAACAAGCAAGGAAGGTGCGGAGTGCACACTTGTATGAGTTTATTTTGATTTAGGGGCGAAGCCCCTAAACAACGGGGGTCCGGCGGCAGCGCCCCCGGTGGCGGGGTCCAAGGGGCAGAGCCCCTGGCGGGTAATATTGCTTTATGGAAAATGCATCAGAAATCCGAATTTTAGATTTTAAACACGGTTTTTGGCCCGGTTTTAAAACCCGATTTTGTGCGCAAAAAAAACTGCCGTTCTTGACAGTTTTTGCACGTTTTTCTTCAACTTTTCGAATTGGTCTTTTTTCGCGGATTGAGAGAGGGTGGTACAAAGATTTCATAACAATTTTAGATGCGAAGTTCTGTCACTGAATTTTATTCGATTGAGATTTCGATTGTACCGTCGAAATACTTCAATCTGAAAGTGAAAAACGACTTTCTGTGGATTCCAAGCAAAGTTATCTAACAGTTTAACTGTCTTTGCTTTTACTGGTGGCTCGGACCAACACTAAAAATTGTGTTACTTGGTTGTGCCAGTTTATAATTTCTTTGGTTTCATGTTTAGCCTTCCCCAAGTGGCTCGCTATAATAGGCTTCTTCTTGTTAGAAGTGCTAAATGTTAAAAGTTTAACGCCCACTTCTACCTTTGAAAAAGATTACTGTGATTGGGGCTATCTCATCACTCCAATCGAGCACATCCACAAAACAAAAAAAATTAAAAGACTTTGGAGTTCACTATTTGCGCTTGACATGAGTTTGCTTGCATGTTGTTTTAAAACCATATGCTTACTTTTGATTGGCAGTAGTTGTGTTTAACACGACAAAAAATTTGCACAGATGCGATCTATTTCACAGGAACTTGAGATTCTTGGCAGGCATCAGCACCCTGAGCTGACCATTTCCTTCTTGAGGGTAAGTGTTCATAATGATTCATGTGCACGTAATGTTTAAGGGTTTGTTCAATCAGAAAAGGCTTCAGTTTGCAGTTGTTAAACACTTTGAGCAGACGTAAAATGAAATGAGAATATTTGATCATTTCATTTATAGTTTCGAGACTACTGTTGGTTATTTATGCCAAAAATTTATCTTATCACAATGGCCCAGGATGGAAAACATGTATTTTTTCATTCCCTCCACTGAAAAGAGTAGACTTGTATCAAGTGGATGGGATAAAGAAAGGGTAGAGGTAGGGCATGATTGACATTGTTTTTTTTTTTTTGTGTGTGTTTTTTTGGGGTGGGGGTTACATAGAGTTGTGAAGAACTGAAATATACCCAAGGAATTACCTTTAGTTTGAAGAGCATGGAGGAATTCCATGTTTAAGTTCTGTTTATTTGTTATTTCTTTTTCTAACCTGATGGATTTCATTTTTATCCTACCCCAACTAGTTTGGAAAGATTTCGCTTCACACAGACCCTCCTCAAGCATGTATTTGAACATATCTATTGAACACAATTTAATTTAGGTGGTATGAACAGTTGGATGATTTCAATCCAATTTCTAATGCGTCCCATGCATTTGTATCCAAAAATAGTTGGAAATGCAGCATGGCTTTGAGATGTCAGATGGTTTAAGAAAAAATCGATTGGAAGTGCTGGTGTCATAATTCAAAAACTACTCCTCGCCTCTCGGCTATCAGCTTCATTAAATTTCAAATTGTTAAAAGTTGGATTTCAATTACCACACTGTTAGCACCACCTAAGGTTTGGTCCCCAAATGACCATTGTCTATGTTTTGAAGTGGAAGTTACTCTAGACCATATTGTGAATGATTTTTCCTTACTTAGGCAGTGGCGGAAATTGCAAAGGCTTCAAAGCTCGAGGCTTGTTCACTGCCCTCTCAAGCAGAGTTATACCATAAACATGTGAAGTCTGAATTGTCTGACGTGGAAAGGGAAACAATGAACCGTTCGGGCTGTTCAGTATCATGTTTCGACGATGGCATTCTCTCGAGTCCTGAAGAATGTGGTGAGCGTTTAACACCTGAACGTCTGTTCTTCCTTAGTTCAGATTAAGGTATCGTAGCAATAGTGACAGATGCTAAGATCAATATTTGATGTTATGGTGTTGTGAATAGAGGTGGCTGCTCCCCCTGGTCATGTTGATAAGCATAGGGAGCAATGGGAGCGCATTTTTTTCAGACTGAAGGAGTCCAAGAGCTACAGGCAAACTGTTGGATCTATTTCTAGTTCGTGTATCGTAGCTGCTACTCCTCTACTTGGTTCGATGAAGCAAACAGCATGCTTGGTAGCCTTGCAAATAGTTGAGGTAAATATTCAGGATAATATTTATTGCTTTCCATGCAATTTTGACCTTAGCTTCGGGCATATGTGTATCTGTATATATAGAGAGTTTTATCTTCCCAAGTGTAATTGCCCGCTAGTTTGACTCTGATGTTAGCAGGCAATTTCCCTCTAGCTCTACTTGTTCTTTTATTAACATATTGCATGCACCTTTTGTGGGGTCTGTGGGGGATGTTTGGATGAGATCTTCCTTTTGTTTGTTACTTACTGACGCATGGTTGTGATGCCACATTGCCAATAATCATTGCGTAGCATCTGCTGATGTTGTTCATGATGGTTAAATCAATTATACTGTGTTTTTCCCTTTTCCATACATATACATTCAGTGGTTCTGGAGCTGTAGCAAAAGGGATATATGCATGTCCCAAATGGATTGCTATAAGCAACTGATGCAACAATTCTTAGCCACATGCATGATGAATATTTATTTTCAGGATGGGATCATGGCACTTGCTGAAGTGGAAGAATCGTATAGGCATGAGATGAAAACCAGAGAGATCCTTACACAAGCTTTACAATCATATTCACTGGATGATCTTGCAGATACCGTGGAGGCAGAAAGCGATGGAACGGAAGAAAACAGGCTACTCCCAGCAATGAATAAAATTTGGCCCTTCCTGATTGCCTGTATCAGGAATGGGAATCCACTGGTTAGTGATGTAACTTGCTTCTTTTATTGAACATGTAGACCTTGTGAGCATGTAATTCTGATATGAGAGATTGGGTTGCGTCTATTTGTTTGGGTTCTAAGTTGGCTAGTAATGGTAATGCAGGCGACTAGAAGATGTGCTGGTGTGATGAGTAGAGCAGTGCAAATCTGTGGAGGGGATTTCTTTTCTCGCCGCTTCCACACAGATGGATCCCATTTGTGGAAGCTCTTAAGTGCCTCCCCGTTTCAGAAAAAGAAAGAAAGAAGAGTGTTACAACTTCCTTACAGAAGCGGTTCAGAGGAGGATGGAAGGGCGGAGATTTCTGATTTGAAGGTCCAGGTGGCAGTGCTGGACATGATCGCTGAGATAGCCGGAAACAAAAAGAGTGCTTCGGCTTTGGAATCTGTATTCAAGAAGGTGTGTGGGGTTGTAGTAGGGATTGCATGTAGTGGGGTTGGTGGGGTTGGAGATGCATCTGTGAATGCCCTCAGAGGGCTTGCTACAGTTGATCCTGATCTTATTTGGCTCCTTTTGGCTGATATTTATTACTCCAAAAAGAGGGAAGGTATTGAAGAAGCAGCAGCCATGGCAGATTTGCCACAACTTGTGCCACCAGCCTTGTCATCTCCCAGGTGGTCCTACCTTTATGTTGAATACGGTGGGCAGAGGTATGGTTTTGACATGGACTTGAGTGCAGTAGAAAGTGTTTTTAAGAAACTGTATGATATCTGAATATCGTTAGCATCAGTAAAGTTGGCAGTAAGAGCATGAGGTTTTAAGAGGAGAAGGTATAGTTAAAATGGGATGTTTTAACTTGAGATTATATATGGAATGGAGCATGTATTAATTATGGTATAATTGGTATGTTGATGTTTGGTAGGTCACCCCCCTCTTATCAAATCCATTTACCTTACAATCACAATCATATGATGCAAATCATGTATATACACCATTAATTAATTAATTAATTATCATCTCCATCTTTTATTTATTTATTTATTTATTTGTAATATAAATGTATACATTATAGGTAGGTTTGGTGAGTCAAACAAGGATTATTATTATTATTATTATTATTATTATTATTATTATTTATTAAAACAATGATTGTAGTGATGTGAGTTTTAGGAAAATTTAGAAACATAGGTCCATCAGTTTCGACTTTTAGTTATATATATATATATATATATATGTATTTTTTATTCAAATTTACATACATGTATGTATAAGGATTGGTTTGCATGTCCATGTCCATATCTCAACTTTTAATGCTCTTCTTTTTGGTTCCAACATCCACTACACTACCCCAACATTCCTCAAAATACCCATTTCTTGCATATACATACTCATTCTTCTTCTTGTAATTTATCCAAATATCATTACTCTCCCCACCTAAAAGCCAAAAAGAAAAACGACAAATTTAATCCACAAGACAAAGTAAGATATTTAGATAAATAAATAAGAGAGTAATTAATTTATATGGGATGATAAATGAGTATTTAGAGCAATGCATAATTGCATATGCCCGCCCACTACTATTATATATTCATCATCATCATTAATTAATTAATTGAGGAGAGGAGAGGAGAGGAGAGGATCGGAGGTGAGTGGTGCATATCATCATGACCTCCACCACTTCCTTCCTTCCTCTTTAATTAATTCAACCTCTTTTCATTTTCGGATATAATAATAAATTTCCAAATCTCTCATAATAACTAAACACCCCATGCATGCAACTTTAGCATGTCTCATCTATATATACATATATCATTTCATTCTTTAATTTATATAAACATTCTAATGTACGTTTGGATTGGACTGCATGCACGATTGGAATTCGAAATTATACTCGTTACAAATAACAGTAGCTAGCTGGAGTTGATAATTAGACTTTACAATTCCATTCCATTCCATTCATTATTTGAGTAGAAATTATTGTTATTGAGACACGTACGGATCATGAGGGTCAAGTAGTATATTAAAGCATTTCTTAATTAGTATGTATCAATATAGAATTGAATTGAATTGTGAATTTGTTTCATAATTCATATATATATATATATATATATATATATTTAACTGGTACGCAAACACATGATACTCTAGTCTTGTACCAATGAATTTATTTTATAAACAACAACAATAAAACAATTGAAGCAAGAGGGAAGCTTTCTGCAATGAATAGAAAACCAACCAAACAATCTGATATCAAATTGAACAAAAATACGACAAGGACCTAAACACCCAAACCGAAATGAATATCAAAGTTTATTTATGATGTAATTAGTTGTTATATATTTCAAGTGTATTTAATTTAATTTGGTAGAGCAAAAGAGGAAATGAATATTTGATGTTGGTGGTTAAGAATATTAATTTATAATTCTGGTACAATTAATGGATGTATATATATATATATATAGTAGTACCCCTTTTCATTGATTGATGAAACCCAATTCAATATGGTAAGGTTTGAGTTTCATAGGTTTTGAAACATACATGTCAATGAATCATAAATTAATTCCATTGATTTAATTTTAATTTTAATTTTAATTTTAATTTAGAGAGCAGCTACAGCTACTATATATGTATTTATTATTCATTTAACAAACAAAACAAATTATAATGATCATTTATCTATGAAAAAAGATAGAGAGAGTACTTGCATTCATTATAATCATGATTAAATTAATTAGATTTAAATAATACTAATTAATAATAATAATTTACATGCTGCAATCAATCAACTCAAGAAAACAACTTGTAGGTTTTGGCCGATAAGATGATGGTTCGTGCTCCTCCTATTGGTGCAAGGATTGTGATCACACCCCCAACCAATATACACGTCTGCATGCAAATCCACACATATATAAATCAATAACTAAATATGATCATATATATGTTGATTAATTATGTACATCTCAACATACCCAAGATGCCGTCCAATGAAAGCTCCAGGGTTTGGGTTTGCAGATCACAAGCCACATGATACATGGTAGCTGCATATATATATAATTATAATTAATTAAGTATAGATATATATATGATATGATATATGACTTACAAAGAAGGATGTTGATGAAAACGCAAGTCCTCCGAAAAATCCCAACAGTCCTCCGAAGAAGGGAACGCATATTCCAATGAAAGCAGTTATACCTGTACAAATTCATTCATTAGTTAATCTTCTTCAATTAATTTTATTTACTCTTCATTAATTAATTATGTGGTACGTCTTACACACGTATGTGCTCCGACTAATCACACGTAGACTTGTTCCAGGACTGAAATTCCTTCTTTGTACCAGGTAACTCTCGATTAGATCAAACACCGGCATCGCAAATACCTACTCATCACAATTTACTAATTAAATATATATCTATATACTATACATGCATGTACATGCATGCATTTCTCATCAATACATATACATATACATATATATACTTAAGGTAATCACATACCTGATATCCACCAAGGACATGTAGAAATACCATAAAATTAGCCAGGCTGATAAGCCAGCGAGGATGGTCCAACGAAATCAGCACGTCGTCTTCTACTGTGTTACCAAATGCCCAAAACCCAGAAATAGCAACAGAAAGATAACAAGCTGCAACGATGATATAGGCTACTACACAGCCCAACCACATTGGTTTCTTTGATGGTTTTTCTGGCGTTGATGGTATCGTCGCCTGAATCTCTAACGCTATGCTATGGGCTGCAAACGCAAAAGCTATCGTACCAAGTCCGTTAAATATGCCAAATGTCGTCCCTGCTTTTGTTTCAGATCTTATTCCATGGTTAACCTGAGTGTGGTGATCAATCCCTTTGATAGTTGATGCCACAAAAGCAATCATTGAGTATCTGCATGCATAATGCATTCATTCATTAGCTGTAACTATATAATATATAATATCCAAAGCAAATGAATGAATGAATGAATTGAATGGTATATGTACAGTACGTACCCAAAGGACATGATTGCAGCCGTCAAGGAAATGGACTTTAAGGAATTAAAATTTGGAACCTGGGCCAAGAAGAGGTTAACGACTGCGAAGAAGATGATGTAGTAGGTCTGCCTGATATCATGAAACCAAGGGTGCAACAAATCTGCACTCTTTTTCAGTGATTTGCCACCAGTAACCATGTAGACGATATCGGTGGCAATCTGAACCATCATTTGCTGAGGCATCACCAACCAATATCCAAGTTTCTCTCCGAAAGCATGTTGCCCCAGCTCCGGATATCTATCAAACCTCTTTCCTGGAACCCATTCATGTAGTTCCACCATTTGCCACAGAGAGTAAAACGTCACAACCCACGACACTGACAGAGTTGTCAATCCACCAACCCTATATATACATGTATAATAATTAACTAGCTAAGATTTAATTATATATATATATATATATGTGTGTGTGTGTGTGTGTAAATTAAATGTATTTATATAATCAACAAATTAATAGAATATATATATATATATATATATTATGAACAAGGGGTACGTACCAGCCAAGTTGAGACATGGCAAAAGGCAAGCCAAGAACTCCAGCACCCACAACTGCAGTGACGTTATGGAAAGCTGAGTACCACCATTTGGCCTTGCGGGAGGCTGTGATTGGTAGCCAGTCATTGAGATCTTTTTGCCTCTGCTCCTCGTTTGTGCTAGCATTCATCTCCTGTAATGATCAACGAAGAATTGAATGACTTATCAATGAAGCTATATATATGTATGTATGTATGTATATGATAGTGTAGAAGCTAGCATGCAAAGAAAGTAGCTAGTATATATGGATGAAACTAGGTAGGGTTCGGTGTGTGTGTGTATATATATATATATATAGAGAGAGAGAGAGAGAGAGAGAGAGAGAGAGANTTACACGAATTCAGATATGTAGCTTTAATAAGTTGTACTTATACACAATCTACTTGCAATCTTGAGTTTTAAGTAATATGCATTAATAAACAGTATTTTACAACTTAGACTCTCATAAGCCGAAATCCAAACCGAACATTAAGGAGATGCTGCTTGCTGCGTACTGTTGGACGATTTGGAACGGTCGAAATGCCGAAATTTTCAAAGGTGTGCCTTTCAACTCTTATCGTTGGTTAGTGATATTCAGTTTTCTGTGTACTCTTGGCTTTGTAATAGAAGTAAGGCTTATGGCAAGTTAGCTTGGAATAGGTGGTCTTGTAACCCGAACATGGTGTAGCTGTTTCTTGTTTTTTCCCTCGTCGGTCTAGCCGTTGGCTAGTCTTGTTTGAATGTTCAAAAAAAAAAACAGTATTTTACGTATAAAAGTGGGTTTTAAGAGTTTTAATCAAATCTTATACTATATTATAAAACATTTGACAAAAACACTTAAGAACCATTTTTTATGCTTAAGTACTGTTTATTAATACATATTACTTAAAACTCAAGATTACAAGTAGATTGTAGTTAAGTACAACTTATTAAAACTTCATATCTAAATTCGTGTAACTAACTGCAAATAAACATAATCAAATACATGATAAACATTTCATTTTAAATAGAGAGAGAGAGAGAGAGAGAGAGAGAGAGAGAGATTAGATAGGGATAGATGGTTGAATTATAGTAATAGTAGGAAGCGATGATGTAGGATAGATGAAGATCCTTACGATTCGATACAGAATTAAAGATCCCAACCATGTACTCTCCTAATTTGGCTCCTTTATTTTTTCCTCTAAATTAGTATATATATACATATCTTCATTCAATCTTGGATCCGAAAATTAATTACTTAACTGCATATTGCAACTTAAGCCACATCATATATATATCCACTCCACAATTAATTAATTAACATAATTGCTACTTAATTGATTTAATGAAAGCTTTTATTACTTTCCCTTCAAAACAAGTAAATAAACAACATATATAATTATTGACCAATTTACAACCCTAACTTCACCAAGTTAACTTCCTACTTCCAAATCCATTAATATACACCAGAAGAGTATTTGTGTACTGCAGCGACAAACATCTCGATTTTGTTATTTGTTTATGTCAATGTTATAATACGATTTTTTTGTGTTTTTAATAAAACAATAATGATTTTATTTTTAAATAAAATATAAATTTTAAAAAAAAAATTATCAATGGTAATATCAAATCAACTATTTAAAAGCTCTTATTTTTATTTAATTTATTTTTTTATTATAATTTAATTTAAGTTTAATAACAAAATAATTTATTTTTATTTTAACAATATAACATTTATAAACATAATAA